CGGGAGACTGCATGACAGGTAGAGAACACAGGAGGAGCCAGCCCTGGCCTGCGGCAGCGCAGAGGACGAGGACAGCTTGCAGCAGTCTGTTGTGTTTCACATGAAGCACTGTGGTGGGGGGTCCCGGCAATGGGAGGAACCCAGTCACCCCGGGATCATTGCCACTGTAGGCGTGGGTGGCATCCTCACACTCCACCCCATAAATGTGTGCATTTGCCGTGTATCAGTTAGGATTAATGAAGGCTTTAGGATGGACGTGGCCCACGGGGTTCTGCCTCCGAAACCTGCCTCCCTCCCTCCAGCTCATGACCTCATAACAGGGTGCTGGTGCCACCTTGGTGACCTTCTTGGGAAACGTGCTGTCTTCTGGTGGCCAGGGGACCAGCAGTGTAAGTGATTCTGCCCCCAGTACCTGGAGAGCCTGGAGGGAGGCAGTGGCGAGCCCCGTCAGCTGGGTGGTGGCTGTGACGCTCCTGGGCGGCGGCAGTCACTCAGGAAGCAGCTCCCACCCGTCGAGTTGCGGACAGCCCCAGTGTTTCTGGCGCCACCCAGCCAGAGCCGCAGGAAGCTCCGCTCTGAGTGAGCTCCACTTCCTGGAAGGCGAGGGCAGGCCTGAGAAGATGGTCCTTCACACCCCGCAGCAGGAGGGTGAGTCCCAGCCCAGGAGGGGAGGGCCAGTGTGTGGGCCGAGTTCCGGGGACACTTTGACCGCCTGTGGTCCTGTGGGGTGGACCTGGGGACCCACCCAGGCTGCGTTGTACCTTCTCTTTTGGGGAGACACGACGGAGTGATGACGCCGAGGTGCTCCCGATTCTGTGGAGAACACGGAGCAAGTAGGGCACAGGGCCCCACCCGGTGTGACTCAGCTGTCCCTGAGTCACCTGGTGGCTGGTATTCCCTGGTGGCACGCCGCCTCCTGCCAGGCCTGCTGTCCTGTGTCTGCTCACCTGAGGGTCAGAAGCCCTGGCAGCTGCACACATGCACTGTCCCTTGGCTGGGAAGGGACGCTGTGGACTAGACTGAGCAGGGCGCCCGGGTGGTGCACCCCCCTCATTGCGCAACAGGAGCCGGGGACAGGAGTGCTCCTTCCTCTTGCAGTGGGTGCAGGCAGAGCCCTGTGTCTGTAGAGCACCCGTCCACTCCACACCCACACGTGCATGGAGGCTGTGAGTGAGGATGCTCCCAGGAGACACCATGGCAGTCAGGCAAATTCGAAGGTGAGGGAAGGGGTGGGCCTTCCCCTGGCCGGACCCCAGACCCAGGGGTGAGGCAAGTGAGTGTCAGCAGTGTGCCTGGGCCAGACCCTCTGCCCTGTGACCCGTCTGGTTGGCTGAGTGGGGGTTTTGAAAGAGTTCTTTGGAGGAGTCGGATCCCGTCCTACTATAGAATCTCAAACCCACAGTCCTTGTTGACATGCTGCTTTCTGTCTCCACCCTGCCTGGCACCTGGCTCGACAGTTCTCGCTCCAGCACCGTGTGCTGCACATAGGACAAGCCCGTGTCATTACTTGGATACTATTCTCTAATTGCCACAATTTTTTTTTTTAACCTTTTTAATGATGCCCCGTGACTTGCTGCTGAGCCCCCCTGGCTGCAATGAACCCAGCTCCTCAGGATGGCTCCAGGGCCTTTCACAAGCTGATGCCCATGGCCCTGAGCCCTGGGGTCTGACCTGTGGTACACCCACATTCTCAGGCTCCCTACAGGCTTAGGACCCACACTCCCTCTGCCTCCCTGTTTGGGGAATCTGCTGGTCTTTCAAGTCCTAGCTCAGAGGCTGGCCCCTCCAGTGTCCTGGTGTGTCGGTGCCATGGCCACTGTGCCCAGGTTGCTGCTCCCTTGGTCTTGCACACCTCTGCCCACTGGCTGGGCAGGGGCGGCCACCGTTTCAGCCCCAGCTGAGACACAGGCAGCGGCTCTGGCAGAAGCTTAGCCAGGTGGCTGAAGTTAGTCTGTAGATCTCAGCAGGGGACTGAAGGGCCAGGGGCCAGGGGGCCAGGGCTCTGACTAAGCAGCTGGCCTTGGGTGGTTGCTTGTGCCAGTGGAGCGTCACACCTCAGCTCTTAGCAAATACGGAGGCTTCAGAGTTGAGTTTTGTTGTCAAGGTTGAATGCGGACATGGAACAACATTTGAAACCATGGGTACCGCGTGGGTGTAGAGAAGCGTTATTTATGGGAAAACACGCCAAACAGGAGGGAGTACAGTGCCTCTTCACCAGGACGTTGGTCTCGGGCCGTGTCTAAAACGCCCTCCTGGTGTCACCGTAACCTGTCACTGTGTCCTTGGAGACCATGCAGCCTGGTTTTGGACAAGCTGCTCAGACGGGTCTCAGCAGGTAGACCCAAGGTGGCTGTAGTTAACACCCTGCCCATGTCACTCACTGCCTTCTTGTCAATCATGTCTATATTCTGCAGAATCAAAAGTGGCTGCGTCTTTGTTTTTAAGTGGGAGCATGTTGGGTGTTTTTAAGCACATCAGATGGGAAACCTGTTGCCGTCTGTGGTGATAGCGTTGAAGGGCGGCTCTGGTTTGAATTTTGAAGGCTCTCCTGTTGAGTACGCTGGAGATGGACACACAGTGTCCTGCAGCGGCCGGGGAAGCCTCTCAGGCAGGAAGCACCTCTGCACCACTCGGAGCCTCCCTGTTGGTTCCAGCCCCTCTCCAGCCCTGCGTGCTGCGAGCCCTCCAGGAGTCCCGCTGTCTCATGTCAGCCCCAGCTCAGCAGCAAGGTGCAGCAGCCCTGTATCAGATTCCGGGTGCCAGCCCGGCTCCAGCTTGCCTTCCAGCTTCTTACCAGGGCCCTCACCTCTGCTGCCCTTCCTTCTGCACTCTGAGGCTGGACGCGAGGCCAGCTTCGTGTGCAGCTGCCTTGGACTGTTGGGGGCCATGCTCCTCTCTGCCCTGTCCCAGTGCACCTTGTGGCACACTGATGGGTATTGGTTTTACAGGGCCCCTTACCCTTCTCAGGGAGCTCCTGGAGGCTGGAGGCCTGTCCTGTCCACCATGTGTCCTCCTTAGTGACTAACAGGTTTATGTGCAGTCAACTTTTTCTAACAAGATCACTGAATCCTAAGTCTGAGAATGTCCTTCTTAAGACTGCACCTCCTCTCTGTGAGTGGACTGCCCACTCGCTCTGCTCCTGGGACTGTGGGCATGCCTGCAGCCTTTGTTCTGGCTTGTCTTCATGGCAGGCCTGCAGCAGGCCTTGTGCTCGCAGCCGCCCTCCAACCTGTCTGCTTGCTGGGCAGGCCTTGCTGCCAGCTGCCTCTGGTCTGGGCTCAGGTGCAGGCCTTTGCCCAGGTGGTGCACTGTAAGCCCAGGGGTGGGTCCACGCTCTGCTTGGTGGACGTTGGCCCTGGGAAGGCAGAGCTGTGTCAAGCCTGCATGTCACACCAAGTCTCGCGAGGGAAGCGACAGGGCAGGATTCACCTGCTGGGGTCTTCAGTCCCTAGTGTAAGTATTTGTATAAAAACCAGGGATGTTAAGTCAAAGAAGGCTGACATGACCCTTGGGACTGCGAAGTGAGACACCTCTGAGAAGTAGCAGCTTTATCTCACCTATGCGAGAGCCTGGGGTCAGTGGGTGCGGGACCAGATGGTGATGATACAGATAGATTCAGAGAAGACCATGTGGACTGAGAGGCCCCCAAGGGATGGCCCACCCTCCACGGCTGAGCTGGGAGCACCTGGGTGTTCCTGTGGAGGCAGCCCTGTCCAAGCCTCTCCCAAGAGAGCTAGACCTCCGCATACCAGAGGCTGGCGCTTCCAGAGGCAGGAGGGAGGGAGACAGGAGGCAGTGGGTGCCCGGGAGGGACGCCCTGCCTGCAGTCTGTGGAAGCCTGCGTCCTCTGGCAGCTTGAGGCGGACCTGTCATACGTGGAGCCGGTGGCTCTTACTAGCCGAGTTCCCCCACTCTGACACAGGCGAGGTTCCTGCTGTGGCCACCTCCTGACACTGCCTGGATCAGACCCAGGGCTGGCTGCACGCTGGGCAAGGGCTGGCCCTGAGCACACCCCAGCACTGACACTGGCTGGAATTCAGGCCAGAGTATCTGGGTCAGGTGTAGGGACACTGCCATGGTGAAGAGGACATCTGTCCACATTCCCCAGCTGGCTGATCCCCAGAGAGAAGACCATGGAGGGGGGAGGGGCGTTGGGGCTTAGGATCCCCTGGTGGTTCTTAGTAGGGCACATCTGGCAATGTCTGGAGATGTTCTTGGTCGTGGGGGGTGTGAACGGGAGGTGGAGGGGCTGGAGCTCCTATCACAAAACGCTCCACCCAAGTGCACACAGTGCCTAGGGCACTGTTGAGGATCCCTGGGCCAGCTCAGTGGTTTCCTTCGTGTTTTCTCTTGTTGTTTGTTGGTCCTTGTAAAAGGCACTGACCTCTCCCCCACACTCAGAGCCTTGCCCTTCCTCGAGGTCTGTGGCACCTCCAGCCCACTCGGCATGGAGCCTAGGCCTGGGGATTGGAGGCTTGGGGAGGAGGGCCCCAAGTCTGCTTGTCTGAGAATGCCCTTGGTGACTCTTATGCCCTTGGAGTCTGCAAGCTGCTGCTGGAGACACGTTTCTTGTCACTAGCCATATCATATTGCCATCCCGTGGGCTCTCACCAGGGCGCCCTAGCCCCGGATCCCAGCGCGCAGTCAGGGTGGGGCAAACCTTCTTAGTGAGGCGGCCTCCCGGCCTCCCGAGTGGGTGGACCCGCCTCTAGAGCCCCTCCGGGAGCTTCTGGGTCGGCTGGGTGCCTGCCGGCCTGGTGACAGGCTGGGGCTGTCCCCAGGGGGCGGAACTCCGCAGACCCAGCCTCCTGCGGGGGGGAGGATGTGCTGAGAGAGGGTCAGCTTCTTCCGTGCGGTGCGCGGTGCGCAGCCCTCGGGTTTCGCCTCTGCGGGAAGCGAGCGCAGCCGCGGAGTGGAGCTAGCGCTGGCGACGCCTCCCCTCCCGCAGGAGGCCGGGAAGGGGCGGGGGCGGGGCCACGCGGTTGCATTCATGGAAATGAGCCTGCCGGAGCCGCCGGGTGCGCGCCGCGCGCCGAGTGTCAGCAGAGGCTGCAGCCTTCCCGGCCTCCGCAGCCTCCTCACCAGGCTCAGCTTGCTCCACCTGCCCCTGGGCGGTGGGCTTCTTTCTTCCTCGGAGCCTCTCCCTGCCCTCTCTGCTGGCACGCACACGCTGTCCTTGCTTCAGCGCTCCTGCACCCAGGGCTGGGGGAGCGCCGGGGAGCCGGGGCCTGTGGGATCCCTGCACAGAGCCACCATGGCCTCTGACGCCGAGAGCTGCCACCGGCCAAGGCTTTGATGTCGCTGCCCACGGCTTGCCAGGATACTGGGGCTGCAGGAGAGGGGACTCGCTGAGGGTAAGAGGCCGGGAGGATGGTGCCAGAAGCCGGGTCTGCAGCTCCCCCATTATGCTCTGCTGCCGGCCTCTCCCACCCAGCTGCCGGCAGCAGGAGCCAACGGGTGCGGCTGAGTCTCTGCATGCCCGCCCTTGGATTCCCATCCTCTGCTCTCTCCCAGGGCTTTTCTCTGGCACCTTTGGGTAGGTGTCCACACATTCAGTGTAGTTTCTTCTTGACCTGAGACTTGGGAACAGGCCAATAACGAATTCCTGGGATCCAGCTTTGGTGAGGTCAGGAACAGAATGGCAGAAAGCAGGGGGACAAATTCAAGGCGAGTCTCCCCCTAGGCCCGCCCACCCACAGCTGCTGGGGCTCAGGCTGACTTGCTGGGGCCTTGGAGCCTTCCCTGGGCGTGGGCAGCCCTTCCAGCGGTACATATGGGAAGGAGTCCGAGTTGGGCATCTGCTTTGATGACGGGTCCTTTCCATGGGGAGTCAGGGAGAATGTTTAAGTGTACAGAAAAATTCAGGGTTGTATTAAGGGCCAACATAAAGTGGACTTTAGGGATGGGGTGAAGTAAGAGAACTGACCTCTTATTTTTTTAAGATATTTAAATTTTTTTTTTAAAGTTGTAGGTGGACCACATGCCTTTATTTTTATTTATTCTTTTGTGGTGCTGAGGATCGAACCCAGGGCCTCTCATGCACTAGTGCTCCACCACTGAGCCACAGCGCCAGCCCAAGAGAACTGACCTCTTAAAATCCCCACACCTCTTGGACACAGAAGTGGTGTGGTGGCCCAACTGTGCAGTGTGACAGTGTGACCCAGCTGGCAGGCACAGAGCTTCAGTGCCCAGCCCTCTACCTGGTGGAGCAGGGCTCCAGGGCTGGGGCAGGAAGGGCCCTCCCAAGCCTGTCCAACTCTGCGTCCAGTCCCTCCTTCTCAGAGGGGCCATGGTGCATTCCAGATGTGTCCTATGTTGCCCCACCAAGGTTTTAGGAAAGAACGAAGTCCTGGCATGATTGTGTTTAGCTCTTAGCTGTATTGAAAGCAGATGTTAACTTTGTTTTTATTAACCACATTTTTAGAATAAAATTTTATGACTTGTTTCTGTTACTACCTTGGAATTTGACTTCGTTTCCCTTTGGTTAGCTGGTTAAGCCAACACGCAGGCCCAGTCTCGAGTTCTAGAGCTGTTCAGATGGAGTGTGTGTGGGTCTCCTTCCTACGGGACCCAATAAGACACCTTCCTTCCCTTAGTCAGTTGGTGGGGCTCCTTCACACACTTCCTCTGATTAAGAAGGGCTGGGGTGGTGAGGAAGCTGTGCTGGACAGGGTCATGGTTCCCAAGGTCACAGAGAAGTCCACGGAGGCTGGAGCCCTTGTGTCACGGGACTCCTGCCCTTGACATGGACTCCCTGAGCCCTGAGGCCTGGCTGTCCAGGTGGTCCTCAGAGAAGACATCTCCAAGGCTGCAAAAAAAAATTGCCGTCTTCCTCAAAAATGCAGAGTGTGGCAGGAAAGCCTTGACAGCTGACTTCCAGGCGGGGGCCTGGGTGGGCTTGCTGGGCACTGAATCAGGATGGCCTGAAGTGGCATTGGCAGGCGGCTGGCAGGCGCCTCTCTGCAGCCTGTGCTGAGCAGCACCGTGCCTGCTAGTTTAACTCTTCCTGGGAACATGCTTTACAGGGTCTCAGGCTGTGTTGGGGGTGACATCTTACTTTCAAATGCCCTTCACAATCAGATCTTAGTTTCCTGGAAAAGGGGCCAGAGTGAGGAGAGTTGGGAGCTGAAGACTGTGGCTGTCACACCCTCCTGTGTTTCTAGAGGACGCACCATTCTTAGCCATTCCTGCGGGCGACCGCCTCCAGGGCTGCCTTGCTGAGCTACGCGGGAGCTCTGGCCACCGCACGAGGCTCTGGTGACATGGGCAGTGTCTGTCCTCCCCAGGTGTGTCTGCAGGCACCTGCCATCCAGTAGGTGTGGAACCTCCCTCCTGAGGTGGAGGGTCTGATGGTGGAGTTGGGAGGGTCCCAAGGCTCCACAGAGGAAGGCAGTGTAAGGGTGCAGTGTGACTCGGGTCTCGGGGTCCCAGACTTCACCATGCCCCTGTCCACGTCCACTTCCCTAATCTCTGACCTGACCTCTGTCCTGGGGGCCTGTGGGTGTAAGGTGGGAAGCCCCAGGTGCCGCAGCTTGGATCCTCGTGGCCTGTACCTGCGAGATGCTCTGCCTCTTGCTGTCTCAGAGACCATGCCCACAACCATGACCAGAGTTTTGTGAAGGGCAAGACCAATTTCTCAGCGAGGGCACTCTCCCAAGCCCACCAGCTCGCCACCAGTGGACACCCTCCGCTCAGAGCTGCACATGACCTGTGCCTCACTCGCATTTTCTGACCTCCCAGAGCTCATGCTCCTGGGGATGCAGGTGCCCCCCACACCTCCTGGAAGTGGCCGACCCTGCTGTGTGCCTGGAGGCACCAGTGGTGACTGTGGGCTGGGTTGGGGACCTGGGACCCCCAGGTGACCTCATGTCCCAGCCAGGCCAGTCTCAAAGGTTGGGTGAAGCGCCTGAGCCATGGCTCTCATCCTGAAATTGTCTGTCTGTAGGTGTTTCCTGGGGCTTTCGCTCTATAGGAAGGGACAGGTGTGCTGTCCAGCTGAGAAGCAGAGGAGCAAGGCTCTTGGTCTCAGTATGCCCCAGGAGAGACGTGGTTCTGGCCAGGTACCTCGTGTGCCCACTGTTGTCTCCCGCGAGCCCCTTCCCCGGCCCCGGCCCGCACAGCAGTGCCCATGGTGGAGAGCAGCAGCTCCATCTTCCAGGGCGTGGAACTCAGGCCCAGAGAGGTGAGGAGTTGCCCAGCGTTGGGACCTGGCCAGAGCCTGGGTTTGTCAGCCTCTGTCAGAAGACGAGTCACTGGATTTCCCTGGGAGACAGCGTGGCGCAGGCCCTGGGGTGCGTGAGCCTGCACCCTCTCCTTGAGGCCTCACTGCACGGTCCTTCAGGAGGACGGTTGGTCAGTGCCCAGTGCTATAACTGGAGCCCCTGCCTTTGGAGTCCTGGGCCCTGGGGTAGTGCCTGGTGGTGGGCAGACTCCCAGAGCCCTTGCCCTCAGTGGGGTCAGTTCTGGGGGCTGGAGCTCAGGCTGCGGCTGCTGGAGGCAGGGGTGCTGGGCAGGGTTCCCCAGGTTCCCTGGGTGTGTGCTCCCCGTGTGCTGTGTTCAGGGAACGCCAGGCCCCTGCCTGCCAGGGGCTCCCCGCAGAGGAGGGCAAGCCCCTCCCCGTGCAGCGCTCTGGCTGGGTCACCTTTAGCCTCATTGACCTCGCATCTTGGTTGTGCTGGTTGGACAGGGACCCTTCTTACCACAGAGAGGCAGAGGCTATAAAAAGGAATCGGTTAATAATTACAGTGAAAAAAGTCAGGCCGCTGGTATATTTTAAAGCCCGGCTGTGGGACCTGGGGGTAGGAGGCCTCAGTCCCAACGGGTGCCAGGGCCCTCCGCTTGAACAGCAGCTGCCATGTTTCTGCTGAGCAGAGCCTGTTGTCACCACAGCTGTGTCTACATGGGACTTCAGAGTGCCTCACTGGTCTGCTGCCATGGCGGCGGAGCAGGGATTGCAGGGCTTCAGAGCCGAGTCTGCCTTGTGCTGGGTTACCCGCCCCTGGCTGGGAGGGAGGGCGCTGTCCCTTTAAGACAGCCCTCCTGTGTGTGCTGGCTGGAACCCATTTCACTCTGGGGCTCTGCCTGCTGCTAGGATCTGAGAGCCATATTTAAATAAATAAATGGGTGAAAGCCTCCCTTGTGTGCTCTCTATTCACAAGGCACAATGGTCCCTGTGGTTCCTCACTTTAATCCCCTCCTGCACTGAGCCCTGGAGAGGCAGGTGGGGGCCTGCTGCCCAGCCTGACCCTGCCACCCACCTGCAGGTTAGCCTCTGCAGGCATCCCTGGCCCCTGGGGCAGGCGCAGGTGGGCGTGGGCGCAGCTCCCTCCCTGGTCTGCCCCACTGTGCTGGTGGCTCCCAGCCGCCTCCCTGGCACAGAAGCTGCCGCAGCACGTGGCCCTTGGGGGAGGCAGAGCTGTGTGTGTCCCTGCCATCTGGCCTGCCCCAGCCACGCGCACTCGTGTGCAGTTTAACCCTGGTGGCCGAGTCCCCGCCAAGCCTCCTGGCCAGAGCCGACAAGGTCACTGCTGCCGGCCCACCTCCATCTGCATCAGGTGCAGCCCCACCTCCAGCGCCAGCAGCAGCAGTGTCCACTGCCCAGTGCAGCAGCATGATCTGGGAAGCTCGGTGTGGTGCTGCCCGGAGAGGTTCGTGCCCAGGCAGCTCCTGCCCAAGTGTGAGAGTCCCCGTCTCAGAGTGACTTCCATCAGAGAAGGGAGATCTAGCGGCCTGCTTAGAAGTCCTCAGGTGACCTCTTGGACCAAAGAGGGAGGAGCACTGAGAGCCAAGGTCACCAAGTGAGGGTGGAGGGAGGAGTGGCTGCTAGGCCCTGTGGCCAGGGCGGGAGGCTTCTCCGTCCAGCTCTAGTTGGCCCAGCCTCTTCTGTCTGGCGCTGTCCTTTCCAGTAGCCAGACAGCGGGGTCTCTGACTGCGGGACGCACGCAAAGGCCACCTTTCTCCTTCCTGGACCTCCCCGGGCAGTCCTCTAAAGACCTTTCCTGGTTTCAGATCTTCTGGGGTCTTCATCAATGTGTTGAGGTCACAGACTGCCTCCCCGCTTCCTCCTGTGAGGGGTGGGCACACGCACGTCTTCTGGCTTCCATTTTTGATGGTTTGTCTAGACTCTGGTTCCTCTGTCACCTTTCAAACTTCCCTAAATGAACGCCCAGCCCCAGCCTGGATATGCTGTAAGAGGGCAGCCTCCGCCCTCCCCTGCCCTCCCTCCCCCTTCTCCTCCCCCCTTCCATGTTCCCACCTGTCCTTCACCCGGGGTCCACCACGGGGTGGTGTCCACACAGAGTGCGTGTCTGGGACAGTGTCCTCCTGCCTTCCGTCTTCTCGGGCTTCTGTTCCCCTCTTCCCAAGCACTCCCTGTCTTCTTGGGAGGAGACCACGGTGCCTGCTCCCCTCTACTGCTCTGCGCGGTGGGCTGCTTGAGGAAGCCTCAGCTTCCCTGAGTCAGCCCCGACCCCTGTCCCTGTCCCTCGTCCCCCCAGAGTCACCTCCTGGGAAAGGGTGCAGGAGAGAGGCTCACTGCTCTGAGGGGTCTGAAGAGACCCTGGTTTGCCCTCTCCTCAAGGGGGTTCTGGATCAGGTGGTTTCCACAGGAACCCAAAGGCCCCTCCTTGTCCTCCTGCCCGTCAGCCTCTGTGGGTGGCCACTTTCTCCTCCAGCTTCAAGCCTCTGGCCTCTGGCCCTCTCCTCTCCTTGAACTGCTGGTTTGTCATGAGCGCTTGTGTCTCTGTGGCAGTTGACAGTTTTTACTTGCAGATGAGCAGATTTGTTTCTTGTATTTTTAGTTCTCTTCTTTTTGCTCTTTGTTCTACAAGAACATCTCAGCTTCACCTTTCAGTCCTCAATTGACTGTTGATTTGGGGGTAACCTGAGGGCGAGGGTGTGTTGGTTAGAGTGTGTTTCCCACAGTGTTCTTCTGCAGGTCCTGTTGCTCCCAGCCGTCCCCTTGCAGCTGGGTGGTGTCTGTTCCCAACCTGCTCCTCGCCTGCGCCCTGGGCGGCCCCCTGGGATGCGCAGTCGGGTGGGCAGGAGCCCCCATACAGGGCCAGAGTCCGAGGGCTGTGGGGTGCAGCTCCTGCCGGGGGCTTGCTCTGCAGGGCCGTGCGGTTCTGCTTCGGGATAAAGGGTGCTCCAGTCCTTGGGTGTGGCAGGCCATGGCCTGCAGGGTGCCTGCGCCCTGGAGGAAGGCATGGGCACCCTTCCTTTGCTCTCTGGGCTCTGGAAATGCGTCAGCCTCCCTTCTGCTGCCGGCCTTCTCCTCTGGGACAGTGGTCATGGCAGAGTCCTCTTTTTGTTCCCTTACTGTTTCGAAGCGGATCATGGGCAGGTAGGGACAGGAAGCTCAATCTGACGTGTCATGCAGGTGCTGACTGTGGCTTTCTAGAAAGCTCTGTGTGGCGTGCTCACCCAGAGCTGTCCAACTCTTTGCACAGAGGAGGAGATTTGATCCTTGGTGGCCGGCAGGGTGTTCCGGGTGAGAGCTATGATCTGGAATTGAGAGACCTTGCTCTGAGGCCAGGGTGCATGTGGACATTCAAGCCACCCTGGAGGGCGCGGAGCAGACGAGATGACCACCCCTCGGTCCTGGAGCAGAGCTCTGCCAGTGTGGTGTCTCTCTCTGCAGTCATGGTCTCCTCACCCCCCCCCACGTGGCTTCTCAGCTTGCCTCTGCTCCCCACCCATGGCCCACGCCACCTCTCTGCCACAGCTATCTCTACCAGGTGGTGCAGTGCCAGCCCTGGGCACAAGGGACTGAGGAATGGGGGTGGCCAGGCAGCCAGCCTGATGCCACCATCAGCTCCTCCCTCCGGCCCCTGCCAGCTGTCCTCTCCCAGCTCTCCTGGGTGCCTGTGGCCGCCTTTTGTTGGCACACCTGCTGAGAGCTGGAGGCCCGTGGCTTCGTGCAGTTAGTTGTTTCTGAAGATGGCCTCTGGTCTTTCTTTTGCTCTGTTGCAGGCTCCTTCTGTGTTTCTGGGGAGGTGGAAACTTGCTCAGTAACATTTCCCTCCTCTTTGCAGTTCCCAGCGACCTGACCGCAGAGGAGCGTCAAGAACTGGAGAACATTCGGCGGAGGAAGCAGGAGCTGCTGGCGGACATTCAGGTAGGAGGGCTGCCAGGAGGCTGACACGCTCCATTTGTGCACAAGTGTGTCCTTCGCAGAGTGTCACCTGGAGCTCTGGACAGAGCCTAGGATTGGTGACCCCTCTGCAGGCTCTCAGCAAGCTTAGGTGTGCAAAAGTCTGCTCACTGCTGACGTTCGGAGAGGAAGTGGCCCCGGGCAGTTCCTCTGTGCTGTCACCTCGTGGCTGCCTGGAGTGGCCTCGGTCTTGCTGGCTCTGGGTGCAGGGCCCAGCCTGGCCACACACCAGATGGCTTTTGGTTCCTTGAACTTGAGCTTCTTGTCGTGGACTCCCAGGCCTCAGAAGGGCTGAGGGAGCTGATGTTTATGGAGCACTTAGTGTGATTTCAGGTCCCTAGAAACTCTTACTCGGGGACAGTAGTCTTAGTGTGTTTCCTGGCTCCTTTTCAAAACTGTCCCAGTTTTGGAGGAAGGAAGGCCTTAGAACCTGAGAGCTGGATGACCTTGCCCGGGGGCAGCAAGTGTTCCCTTCTGAATTTCCCTGGACATCGCGAGGGCTGGGAAGAGGACAGGCCTGAAGCCCGGCCACAGTGTGAGAGCAGTCGCCGCCTTGCTCCGCTGGTTGGGGGCTTCCTCACTGGGCCTGATTCTTTAGTTCCTGGTTCACTGGTGAAGGCGGGGAGGTGGAATGGTGCTCCTAGCCCTCCATCCTGAGAGCCACTGAAGGGGACGGTGGTGGGAAGAGGGTGGATTTGGTCAAGGTAGAACTGGTTGAATGTCCCCTTTGCCAGCCATGGGGTGGGTCAGTGCCACCAGGCCTTGGGAGTGAGAGTGTGCCCAGGACCTCTGTCACCCTGCTTGGTGAGCTGTAGATCTGTCCTAAGAATGTGCTTCAGGTGGCCTCCTCCCGGTGGTGGGTGCTCCCCAGGACACCTGAGCTCTGAGGCAGGAGCTGCGTCTCCCTGCTGTACGTGCCTGGGGGGCGTGGCGGGCCTGGGGTAGCCGGCTTCCCGGCCCTGCCCACGGGGACTGCTCCATCCTGCTGTTCCGTGTTGTCTCGGGCCAAGGCAGCAGGTACGGGGCTTGGGAAGTATCCCTGGTCTGCGGCGTCCCTCCTGGTAATGCTGGCCATCTCTTCACAGAGGCTGAAGGAGGAGATAGCAGAAGTTGCTAATGAGATTGAAAACCTGGGATCCACAGAGGAGAGGTGAGTCTGCCCTGCTCTGGGCTCCACATTGCTCGGCTTCTCACACACCCACCTGCCCTCTGGGAGGAGAAAGTCCTTGCCCCACACGGGCCCCCATAGGCCGCACCTCTGCGGCCAGTCTTCCCTGCAGAAGCTTTGCACAAGCTTGAGCCGCCCGCGCCGAGGCTTTCACGTTGTTGATGCGGCTTCCCCTCTTGTCCGCTACTTGTATTTGGATTCTCGCTCTTTCTTTGTACAAAGGAAGCTTAACAAATGCCACCAAGAGTTTCGAGGGCCCTGAGCAAGGCTTTGAGCCTGTCTTCAGCTCCCTCCAGTAGAGGGGAGAGAGCACAGAAGTTGGTCATGGTGTCTGACCAGGGTTGGCGCTCCGTCTTGCTCTGAGTGACATGATGCTGGTGGTGTGGTCCTGAGTGGGCTCCCGGGCTGCCTTCTGATTCCTAATGTGGCCCGTGGGCTGTCTCCAGGTCCCTGCACGTCTGTGCTATTCGGAGCCCGAGTCTGCCTGTCGGGCTTCCTCCGCCCTTTGCTCCCTGCTGTAGCCTGGTGTGGGCAGGGCCCCAGGAAGGGCAGCCAGGCTCTGGATCGTCATTTTGGTGTTTTGGATTACAGGTTTCTTACTTTCCATTTGAAAAATTGTAGCTTAAAAGAAATGGATAGGGGCTGGGGCTGGGGCTGAGTGGTAGAGCTCTCACCTAGCATGTGTGAGGCCCTGGGTTCCATCTTCAGCACCACGTAAAAATAAATAGATAAAGTAAAGGTATTGTGTCCAACTACAACGAAAAAATAAATACCAAAAAAAAAAAGAAATGGATAAATTAGAGTTTATCAAAGTTTGAAACTTCTGCTCTTACAAAAGATAACTATGAAAGTATGAATAGGAAAGTCACAGTGTGCGGGTATTTGTAGCATGCCCATCCAAGCACACAGAAGAGAACACACGCACACGGAAGAGAACACACGCACACGGAAGAGAACACACGCACACGGAAGAGAACACACGCACACTTCAGTAGTGAAGATGCCCAAGGCACAGGTGAGCACAGGTGGGAATGCCCTACACAGAAGCTGCGTGTGCAGCAGCCATGGAGCTCAGCTCTTGGTAGGACCGTCAGGGGAGGCTGCCGTGGCAGCCCCTTCACCCCCTCCTGGACGGCTGGGATGAGACCGCTGCACTTGGCCTGATGAGCGCCAGCCAGAGAAGAGGACGCCCTCCTGGGAAGCTGTGCACACCCTTGCTGAGGCTCAGCAGCTCAACTCCTGGACAATTACTCAAGAGAAATGGAGACATGTCCACCAAAAGAAGTGTCGGGGACGTTGATTCCAGGCTGCTCAGGAATGCGGAGGAGCCAGCTGCTGTGTGCCGCTGTGAGGCAGAGCCTGCGTGCAGACCGCTGGCTTTCGAGGTTCCAGGGCAGACCAGGCTCAGCTGCGATGGTAGAGAGCGCAGGGCACGTAGAGGGCTGGCAGAGCAGGCTCTGGCTGGAGTGGTGGCCTCCAGCTGCACACTCGTGTCCAGACTCCTGAGCGGGGTGCTCAGGCATGTGGAGTGTGCCTGAGTTTACAGAGGAAACTGGCTTTTTCCCGATTCTGAAGGAGAGGAGTGTTTCTCGCAGGCATTGGTAAGCACGGAAGAGCGCCGAGGGAGCAAACTTCCCCTCGTGCTGGTCCAGGATCCCCTGACCTCAGTGTGTTTTGGCATCTGCACAGGCATGTTCAGAACACGGGGCACCATCTGCTTGGTGAGTGCCTGCAGGTGGTCATGGTGCACCCAGGAAATGACTCCAGGACCCGAGTGGCCGGGCACCTGCGACAGTCAGCTTGCCAGCTCCTGGGGACTGCAGCTCTCCACAGCTGCACGCAGTCGAGCCGGGAGCCATGATGTGGTGACACGTTTTTCACTCTGGAACTTAAAATGGTTTTCTGGTGTCGGAAGTCCTAGGGGGAGCTGCCCTGCAGGTCCTGCACATCGGTACAAAGAGGGTCTGCTGCTCCTGTCAAGGTTCTAAGCACAAGCCTGATGCCAGCACTGTGTAGAAATGACCTAAATGTCCTTCATCAAAGAGAACGACCTGCCCATGTGCTGTAGGGTCCTAACCTTCTGAAGTGCAGGGGTCGACCCATGGTCTCAGGTGATGCAGAAGCAGCACTGGGGGGGGACACTGGTATGGAGATTGGGGAGGGCCTCCTAGACCAGGGGCGGCAGAGGGCCTGGGCGGGAGCTGCGGTCTCACTGCTGGGCGGGGGGCCTGAGCTGACGTCATGGAGAGCTGGTGAGCCTCGAGTCTCTGTCCAGATAGCCATGGGCAGCGGCCGGTACCGCGCAGGCCTGGGGGGCGTGGTCCCTTCAACTAGGGACCAAACAGGCGCAGGACCCTGAGGGTCACCATGGTTACGTGTCTGGCTCAGTAGGGCCTCTGAGGCTGCCACACATTGTTACAGGAAAATACAAAACAGGGTTTTTCTTGGGTGGAAATACAGGGCCAAGTGAGCTTCCTGGATTTAGGAAAATGATGAGAGGACTATTGAGATCCAGTAGGAATTTCTAGACACTGGGACTCGGCAGTTAGTTCCAGCTGGAGTGAAGCTGCACATGCCCTCTGCAGCTGTTCCTCTGGGGACCCTGTCACCTCAGGTCCTGGCCTCCTAGCATCTTGAGAGTTTTCTGTTTCCCTTTTAAAACCACGCCAGACAGGAACCTCTGTTCCTTCCTTGGATTTAGCCAGGGAAAACGTGCTCCTGAAGGCAGAAGCTTTTATAAGTGTGTCTCTGAGACTGTAAAGTGCCATCTCATTGACTGCAGAGCTTCCCAAATTTGCATGCACACCAAAGTTTCTGTTGGAAATCTTCAAAGTTCAGATTCCTTGGCTCCACCCTGGAACTTCTGAGTGACTCAGTGGCCCAGAGCCTGCCACAAGGGGGAGAGGTGTGTGAGAGCAGCCTTCTCACACCTGTGTGCTCAGGTGCTCACCTGGCTCACCGGGCTCAGGCTGCAGGTGTGTGCAGTGGGCTGTCTGAGGAGTGTCTGCAGGTCTGCACTTTTTGTTCTAATACAGTCAAAGAAAACTGCTGCTCATCTGAGCAGTTCCTGAGAAATTAAATACAAATGCGCCCTATGACCCACCGGTGTTCACTCTGACCAAGAGAAACAGGAATGTCCATGCACACAGAGAGGTGCACATGGTGCTCATAGCATTTCAGACGCAATGGCCCCTGCTGCTGATGCCCAGTGCCCACCGTCTGGAGGAGAAACACTGTGTCTGTGCGTGGGGTGGAAGGGACAGAGCACTGGTGCACACCAGGCATGGGTGAGCCTGAACACGCCAAGCAGGACCGTGCCAAGTCAGATAGTGCCAGGTGCTGTTCGCAAAAGTCGAGAGTGGGCACACTGGAGACAGCAGGTGGACCCATGGTTACTCGGGGTGGAGGTGGGAGGGAGGGTATCTGGAGTGGGCCTGGGGACATGCTGGGGCTGGTGACACAGTCTAGCACTGGCTATGGTGATGGGCACACCACTGAGTAAGCCTACAGCGCCTCAAGCAGACTCCTAAAGTGTGTGTGTCACATGACATGTGAGTTGTGTCTTGATGAAGTTTTTTTTAAAAATGTCATCAAAAAGAGAACGGCAGGTCTGGGGTGGAAACAGCACAGAGCTGTGTCAGGGCGTCCCCTGCCCTTGCTCAGCAGGCCTGCTGCCCTCCCAGGGCCACCCAGCAGCACTGCGCGAGGGGGCCGCATATGAGGACTGTCGTGCCTCTCAGACCTCCTCTGCCAGAGCGCTGAGGGCCATGTGGTTGTCTTTCAGGAAAAACATGCAGAGGAACAAACAGGTAGCCATGGGCAGGAAGAAATTCAACATGGACCCTAAGAAGGTAGGTGAAGGAAGCAGCAGAGCCTCTGCCTCCAGGCGGGTCTGGCTCAGGTGGACCACAGGTGTCCTTCCAAGCCGCCTCTCCTGACCTGAGTGTCCTGAGCCTGACCTTGACCCTCCTCCGAGGCCTCACACTGCTACGCCTCTCCCCAGGGGATCCAGTTCTTGATAGAGAATGACCTGCTGAAGGACACCTGTGAGGACATCGCCCAGTTCCTGTACAAGGGGGAGGGCCTCAACAAAACGGCCATCGGCGACTACCTGGGGGAGAGGTGATGCTGGGTGCCGCGGGAGCCCTGGGTGGGAGGCAGCAGTGGCCACGTGGGCGAAGAAGGGAGCTGCTCTAGGGAGTGGCAGCTGGTCTGTCGAGGGGGCATGGGGACACTTGTTTAGCCAGTAAGCAGAGTGACTGTGTGGATGGCCCTCCTGGAAAGCCGGTGGCCCTAGGACTTGGTGCGGGAACGCTGCCTGGGGGGTCGGGGTCGGTACTGACCTCTGCTCCTGCCCATCTCTCACCTGCTCCCGACAGGGACGAGTTCAACCTCCAGGTCCTGCACGCCTTCGTGGAGCTGCACGAGTTCACCGACCTGAACCTCGTCCAGGCCTTGCGGTGCGTGTGCTCGCGGCAGGCGGCCCCGCACCCATCCCGGGCCCTGGGTGATGTGCTCAGGGGGCAGGGGATGTGGGACCCCCTGCATCTCCAACTTGAGGTCTGGGAAGCCGAGGAAGCCTCCCGTCAATTTTGAAGTCTTTTCTGTTCTTTGGTTTAGAAGCCCTTCGATATCTTGCCCAGATAGACAGTGTGCTCCATTCCATTTTAGAAAGGAAAAAGTAAACCTCACTTTTTCACTAAATTTTTCATTCTGGGACATCAAAATTGTCCTTTGATATTTTCATTGCCATAGGCAGAACTAATAACGTCATTGTTTGTCCTGTTACTTTAATGGATGAAAAGAGCACAGAGCCAGACCTGCCCTGGGTGGGGTGCCTCAGGCGGGTCAGTGGTGGGGCCCTTGCCCAGCACTCGAGAAGTCCCAGATTCCGAAAAGAAAAACCTAGGGTCACAGCTTCTCTCCGACTTTCAGGGGTCAGTTGTGGGTGTGCTGGCCTGTCCTGTAGTTGTTAGGAGGAGCTCATCTGTGTTTTAGTCGGGGTCTTCTGAGGAGGAGAGTGGTTCTTTGGAACAGGAAGGCCAGGGTCTCCTTTCTCCCGGGCACTGGGCCTTGGGTGGAAGTGGCGGTGGTGTGGACGGGAGGTCCGCAGCTGCACAGGACTGGCACCTCGCCCAGCCTCCTTTTCCTGGGGTGTCGGAAGCCGTGGGCAGTTGAGCTGTTCCCAGGGGCCCGGCCCTGTCCTGGACACCTTCTCTCTGCCGTGCAGGCAGTTCCTGTGGAGCTTCCGGCTCCCCGGAGAGGCGCAGAAAATCGACCGCATGATGGAGGCCTTTGCCCAGCGGTACTGCCAGTGCAACTCGGGCGTGTTCCAGTCCACGGGTGAGCGGCCTCCTCCTGCTGTCAGGCTCTGCTCTGAACAGAGGGCTAAGGTTCATGCAGACAGACACTTTTTTGGTGGTATTTATAATAGGAAATACTTGAAGTGACCCTAAAGTCCAGCGTTACAGCCCTGGGAATACAAATTGTGGTGCCTCTCAACTATGACATATAGCTCCTAAAAATCAATGTGAGCCAGGCATGGTTGGCCATTCCTGTGATCCCAGTGCCTGGGATGCTGGCGCAGGAGGGTCACAAGTTCAAGGCCAGCCTCAGCAACTTAGCAAGACCCTGTCTCAAAGTAGAAATAGAAAGGGCTGGGGTTGTGGCTCAATGGTGAAGAACCCTCGGGTTCATTCCCTAGTACCAAGGGGGAAAAATCAGATTTTTAAAAACTGGGCATGGGAACATGTGCCTGTAGTGCCAGCCTCTGAGGAGGCTGAGGCCGAGGCAGGAGCAGCGCTGGAGCCCAGGAGTCTGAGGGCAGCCTAGGCAATACATTGGAACCTCCCATTAAAAAAAAATCACATTTTTATGAAGAATTCTATTGATAATGGCAAATGACCAGATTAGCAGAAAAGCACTATGTAAACGCGTGTGTTTGGGTGGGGGTGGTGCACACGGGTCAGTTTGAGTCAGACTTTGTTGCAGTTTGGGTCCCTGAGATGCACTTGCAGTATCACGCACAGGCACATTTAGTAGAGGAGGTAAAGCAACAGGTGTTTGCTAACCAGTGGGACTGCAGATGTGTGTGTTCTCTGTTTTCTACGTGGCTGGGTTTTCCTGCCATGTACATGTTCTCCTTTCAGTCTGAAACACAGTGTCTTTTAGTCTCAAGGACGGCATGGACCTGTGTCCTCATCTTGCAGGTGGCCGTGCCCAGAGGTCACTTCATGGCTCCCTGGGCGCCGGGCTTCCCCGGGTGGCGCTGGCTCCTCTCCTGGGGGGTGTTTCTGATGGGGCTGTGCTTTCCTGCCAGACACCTGCTACGTCCTGTCCTTCGCCATCATCATGCTCAACACCAGCCTGCACAACCCCAACGTCAAGGACAAGCCCACCGTGGAGCGCTTCATCGCCATGAATCGGGGCATCAACGACGGGGGGGACCTGCCTGAGGAGCTGCTCCGGGTGAGCTAGCGGGTGGCTCCCGTGCCCTCGGCGGGACAGGGAGAGAGGGCACAGAGTGGCGTGCCCACTCGGTTCATTCCCTTGCTCCCGTGAATCCCACTGACGTGTTGGTGGGGATGTCACCAGGAGTGAGGAGGGGTGGTTTGCAGCTGAAGCTGCGGGCTCCGGCAGGGGCAGGCAGCCTCCCTTTCTCCCCCAGCCTCCACGGAGGGCTGCTTGCCTGTCACCGTGGGAAATAGCAGTGCCCGTCTTGCTCCCCTCGTCCCAGGGCCCTGGGGGGCACGTGCTCTTTGCAGGCGCACAGTGAGTGCCTGTGGAATGAATGGGGGGAGAGATCCTTCTAGAATCAGAGACATACAGTGTCATCTTTTATCCCAGAATCTGTACGAGAGCATAAAAAACGAGCCCTTTAAGATCCCAGAGGATGACGGGAATGACCTCACTCACACCTTCTTCAACCCAGACCGAGAGGGCTGGCTGCTGAAGCTCGGTGAGTCCAGCCCTGGCCACGGGTCCCGGCAGGAACTCTGAGGACAGGCCACAGGAGGCGGGGTGGGCACAGCACCCTGCAGAGAGTCCGCCTGGCTCTGTTCTGACAAAGTCCCCCTCCAGAAAGGAGGCAGCTGGCACGGCCAGGGTCACAGAGCCACTAGGACAGGCTCTGCCCCAAGGGCACTGCCCACACCTGTCTGGCCCTGTGCTCTAGAATTGATGGCCGGGTTCTTTGAAGCAGTGGCCTTAGGACCTGGACCCCACCCCCACCCCCTTAACCCTGGAGGGTGACCAGCCATGTCCATCTCTCTACTGCGCATCCCAGAGTTGTGATGGCACTCCCGCCCGCCCAGCACATCGTCACTTCCTGCTGCATCTGCTCCCACAGGCAGTGTGCATGGCAACCCCGGGCCTGGCCCCTTGGCCCAGCGCTCCTCCTCATCCTCGCACAGTGGCCCTCCCGCAGCCACACTGCCCATTCTGCTCTCAGCACCGCTGGTGGTCCTCCTCTCCCCTGCCCCAGAGGGCTTGCAGGGCCTTCGGCGGGAAAGCAGACCCAGGGGAGGAAGTGCAGGGTTTCCTACACGTCCATGTTCACACGTGGTCTCGACATGACCATGTCCCTGTGTGGGCCTCTGGAGACACTTTGCTGTTTCCTCCTGCTGGTGTTGCTGAGTTGGCTCCCACGGGAACAGTGGGGCGCCTTAGGACCTGCGCTCCCACCCCACACATGGGGAAGGCGGAAGTAGGGGCTTTTGTTTCTGACCAGTCCAGGTGGTAGCAGGACTTACATTCCTTGGGAGAGCCCAAGTTCTTGTGTTCAGACATAATGACTTAATTCATAAGTCCCCAAGCACCACCTCACTGGCTGCGTGCGCCTTGCGTGTCTCTTGAATTGGCCAATGTTTCACAAGTCCTGAGGCCATAGAGTCTCTAAAGTCGCTAACCCCACAGGCAGCCTGCTCTACTTCCCTATCTCCAAACCACCAACCGGGTGGAGTTAGAGGAGGTAAAAGGGTATCATACTGGAAACTTAGGATTCACTTCCCCGCAGTGAGATTTGTTTAAATGCTAACACTGAGTGTGCGCCCTGGCAGCTTAGGTACTAAAGTTAGAACAAACATCATCTCGGTTCTTGTACCAGAATGACATGCAAATTCATGAGGCACCCATATGTTTACAAAGAAAAAAAATAGAGCTGGGTGCAGTGGTCTGCACCTTTAGTCCCAGCCCCTGGGAGACATGAGCCCCCGAATTGGAGGCTGGCCTGGCCAGCACAGTGAGACCCATCCCCCCAAAAAGCCATTTACCTGGACCTGAGGCTTGCTTTTGGGCCCTGCATCCCACTCCCCCTCCGTGCTCAGGAGTTGTCACCGTGGCACACGTGGTCACTCCCTGGAGTCCGTGGGGCAGCAGGCGGGACCAGCAGCCCCTGAGGCTGTGTGCATGTCCGTGTGTGTGTGTGGCCATAAACATGTCTATTGTTGTGCACACACATACGTGCACGTGTGTTCATGGGTACACACGTGTGCATTCTTGCACATCCTTTTAAGAGAGACAGCATCTGAAGAAAGCTGTTTGATTCTCCCTGAGGTCACTTTCCCTCTTTGCTCTGGATTCTGGGCAGACTAGTGACCATTAGCCTTACAAAAATGGATTTGTGGCATCCTGGGGACCAGGTCCTCAGTGGCGCCTCAGGTCTGGGCCTGCAGGAGGCCGGTTGCCCCCTTGGCAGGGTCAGCTCCCTCCCCGGGAAGACTCAGCGCAGCCGATGCCTGCACTCTGAGGTTGAGGAAGTGGTTTGGTTTCTTTGTGTTAATTTTCTTTTCTCCCTCATTTGTATGTTCCCATGGTTTTGGCTCTCCTTTTCCCCGCCCCAACTCCAGGAGGTATGTAACCTGCACCGCTCGCGCTCTGCCCAGGCCACTGTCATTGCTGCAGCATTTTCTTATTTTCTTATTTTTGGTTTTTTTGTTTTAATCGCTGGTGGTAGTGTTAATGCTGCTTCTAACTTACCGCACAGTCCCTAGGGAACGGGGCAGGCTCGGGGCTGGGGTCGCTCTCCATGTTCCCATTATGGGGATGAAGTACACTGGACAGCAGATGCCAAGGTGCAGGCCAGCTTCCCCAGCACAGTGATGCGAGAGGGCGTGCTCAGAGAGGGCTCGTGAAGACAGAGGTTCCCAATGCATTTTCTTGAAATTATCCGCAGGCGTGTGCTGTGTTAATTCAAATTGATGCAGGGCAGGTGGTGCATGCCTGTAATCCCAGCAGCTTGGGAGGCTGAGGCAGGAGGATGGCAAGTTCAGAGCCAGCCTCAGCAACTTAGCAAGGCCCTAAGCAATTTAGTGAGTCCCTGTTTCAAAATAAAAAATAAAAAGGGCTGGGGTGTGTGTCGGTGGTGAAGCAGGCCTGGCTTCAATCCCTGGCACAGAAAACAGAAGTGAATCCCCACTGACGTCCGTGAGTCAGTCTGCTGGGAGTCATTTCAGCAGTGAGGACGGAGAGAATGGGACCTGGGCTTCCCAAAGCCACGTGCTTCAGACCCCAGGATTGAGAAGCAGATGACACTGGGACATTTGCCTTTTGATGAGAAAAGGGGGCACTATCTCCTCGCCCTGAATGGTGCCAGGTGAAGCTTAATGCCCAGGGCTGCAAGCCCTGCCCGCAGCCCCGAGGCCTCTCCTCGCGGGAGGGCACAGCCTCGACTCTGGTGTGTGCTTTCCGCCCTCCTCCTTTCCCAGTGAGTCCTCCTTAGAATCCCAAATTGGCCTCAGAGCTATGTCGAGGGCATCTGCGCCCCATTTGCTGATTTGGGGAGGCCGGGGGAGGCCGGGCACCCTTCAGCTCTCGGCCTTGGCCCGGCTCGAGCAGAGCCACAGCGGGAGAGACCCAGGGTGGGCCTCCCCACGTGACTGGGGCCTGTCAGGTTGTCTTCCGTGTTGGGAAGGCGCCCCTGGAGGGGACAGGAGCGTGCGGGGGGGTCCTGTGAGTTCCACAGGGACTGTCCTAGCGCACATCGATCTGTCTGCTTGTCCCATGTCTGTTTTTCTGTCCACTGGACACGTTCCCCTGAGCCTGCAGCAGTGCTCCTGGTGAGGACCCTGAACACCGCGTGGTCAGGGTGACGCAGCCCTCTGGGGTCAGCAGGGGACTCCTGCAGCTCTGCTTCCTCTCCTTGATCTCCTTCCATCCTGTTCCTTTTGGCATCTGACCCACCTTTTTCATGGTTTGCTAAGTCCCAGTGTCACCGGGGTGGTGTCTTATGACAGTGCACGGGCGGTGGCCTGGGCTGGTGGTTCCTGTGTGCTGAGGCCTGCCAGGGGCACAGTCTCCTGGGCAGCTGGAGCCCCCCCTGAGTCTGAAATGGGGGAGGGGTCCTTTGTAAAAGCAGACGGTCTCTCCTGTGACCTCTTTGTTGGCACCCAGGTCTGCCCGGCCTCGGTGGCGTGCAGGCATCCTGCCACATAACCCTTGGGATGTTTACATATGACTGACCCAGTGCGTGGGGTCGGCCTCTGCTGGCTGGGGCCTCCTGGCTGCGGGGCCTGTGGGCCTGTGGCCTGCTCCCTCTGGGAACCCAGGTGTGCCACGTAGAATCTGGCAAGAGCTCAGGACCACACAGAGCCGAAGTGGCCCGCCGGCCGCGCCCTGTGCAAGCCCACAGACAGGTCCTGGCAATTGGAAAGAGTCCCCAAAAAACTGACCCGTTGTTGCAGGCCATTGGCAAGAAGGGCAGGAGAGTGCCCACCAGGTCCTGCCAGGGGCACACTGGGGACACGGCCCTCCCAGGGTGTCAGGACTTAGTGACAGGGCGGAGCTGAAAAGAGCAGGCGCAAGATGAGCCTTCACCTGACAGGCCTGGCCAGAGGCTGCAGGCGAGGGTCTCCTGGGAGAGGGCTCCGTGCAGCCGGGCAGTGAGCTTGCCCTTCCTTGGGTCTGACCCAGTGTGACTCCAGGACCCACCCTCGCTCACGGGAAGTAGAGAGCACTGAGTGCTCGGTCACCACGGGAGCCCCGTCTGGCCCCAGCCTCTCGCAGCAGCCATTTTTGCCGCCGGCCCAGCAGACTCTCCATGGAGACGCAGACTGTGCCAGGCAACAGCCCCACTCCCCACAGTCGCTCCTTTCTGGTGAAGGAGTCTGCGTTGATGCTCCCCCAGGACTCCGAGGGCTTTGTTTTCAGGACACCAGCCAGAGGGCTTCCAGCTGGTGCGGGAGTTCGCCTCGGTCAGCGGGGTAGAGGGTGAAGGGACATGGCTCGAGTCCAGGGAAATGGACCTCACTGGCAGGTTGCCATGCTTCCTCCCCGTCCGCTGCTGCCTGTCACTTCCGTGGAGCCTTCTCGGGGCCTGGCTGGTTGTCAGTGGCAGCCAGCTGTGCAGGGTGCGGGCCCCGCCTCCTCTCCGCGCTGCCCGTGTCCACCACGCAGGCTTTGGCTGCTCCTCCTGTCCGCGGCACATTTGCGATACATGTCATTGTCACCCCTGGGGTCCTCCCCAGCCATGCTCTCTCTCATCTGCTGTCTGACCCATCTCGGGAGTCATCCAGACACGCTTGCTCTGCTCGTACCCATAGACTTTCACGTCGTGAAAGGTGCTTTGTCTTGGCTGTGTCTCGTCACTGGTGTCAGCTTTGCCGTGGTCTAAATGTTCCCCGACACCCTGCCCCGCCCCTCCCCGGAAGACAGTGCCGTGTGTCGTGGACCAGGCGCTGGGTCTCCTCTCTGAGCTCCTCTCTCTTTGCTCTGTAGGTGGCAGGGTCAAGACCTGGAAGAGGCGCTGGTTCATCCTGACTGACAACTGCCTTTACTACTTTGAATACACCACGGTGAGCACCTGCCGTCGTCCACGGGACGGCTCAGGCCTCTAAACACTCTGACCAAGCTCCGTCAAGGGGCCTGGGAGTGGTGGGATTTGTCCTTCCACAACTCCTCTGGGGTCGGGGAAGGGTTGAAGCCACAGGTGAGAACTAAGGGGACCCCCAGAAAGGGGAGCCCTCACAGGGATGTGGAGCCCCTGGCCCCAGGAGTATGGCTCAGCAGCACCTGGTTCCAGGAGGGACCCGAGAGAGCAGTGTGCTCGGTGTTGGGGTGGGTTTGGAGCTGGCCAGAAAGAATGGACTCAGATCAGTTGCCAAGCAGGAGTTGGTGGCCTTGCTGAGAGGGACGTGTGGGGACACGGAAGCGTGGTGAACTGGAGAATTCAGGTTTTCTAGGGTAGCAGAAACTGAAGGATCTGTTTCTCTGAAACAGCTCAGGGCATAAAATTCAATGGAGAAAAGGAAGTGAAGCGAATCAGTAAAAGCTGACTTGAGACCGTCTGGAGTTCTACGAAGCTCGAGTTTCCTTAAACCAGACAGGTTCTGTGGGCTTTGTTCCGTGGAGGAGGACCCCGCCATTCTGCGTCTGTCTCCTCCCTTCTGTGGCAGTGGCCTGTGGGGACAGAAAGCAAGGGGACGCGCCAGAGAGCCCCGCAGGTGACGGTCTTCAGGCCGCAGCTCACACCAGTGGCCTGGCATTGCTGACTCTGCCGGCCTCCTGGTGGATGCCCAGAAGTGTGGGCACCCGGCAGTGTGAGGTGGGGTCTTGTGGCTGAGCTGGGAACGCTCCCTGCTGTTCTTCCCCTGGCTGTCACTGTGTGAAGTCCTTGGTCCCACTGAGGTGGTACTCGGGCAGCAGGGCCCCGCCGCCTGGCAGCTCATGGGTTGGGCCGCAGCACCTGGCTGCCCTCTGGAACTGGGGCTTCACCCTGCTCTCCGTCACTGAGAACGTCATGCAGACGTGGCTTCTCCCCGGGCCAAGCTGCACACGTGGGTCAGGGCTACCTCAGTGCCCTCCCACGGGCTCTCTTAATGGCGGGTGGTGGCCTTCAATGCACAGCTCTGACTGGGCTCCAGCAGCTGGCTCTGCTTCTTTTCTGCATTGAAGATGTCCTCAGGTATCAGCAGCGCCCCTCAGGTCTGTGAAGTCACAGAGTGAGCTTTCTCCTGGTGAGCCAAGGGCCTCCGAGCAGACGAGCAGGGAAGGCGTTCTGTCCACTGCTGGCCCCCGGGTTGCCTTCTTTCCTGAAGGTGCCTACACCAGTGTCTGGACGTCTGTTGGTCTCTGTCACTGTCTTCTGGTTAAATGGCATTGCACAAGTGCTGGACAGGTGCCTGCAGGGTCATGCGGTTCTGGACTCTCGTGGCACTCGGTGACGCAGCCCTGGGTGTCATGGGCAGCCAGGAGGCCCTGCCCTTGGCATTCACCACCCAGAGGAGAGCAGTGCTCAGGCTGCACCATGTGAGCTGGCCTGCCGTGCATTGTGATGGCATAGAAAGTGCTAGAATTCAAAATACCTGGGCCTCCACCACATGTTCAGGGGAGTGACCAAGGAGACACAAAGGTCAGAGACTTGAGGGGAAGAGAATCTAGAGCCACTCAGACGTGCCAGAGCACCTGGAGGGCAGCATGCAGAGCAGGAGTGAGGGGTCCTTCCAGAAGGTCAGCCTGCTGGCCCAGCCGCAGCCACCGTCCCGGAGACCCATCTGAGAGAGTGGAGCAGCTGGGGAAACAGCAGCCATGTGGGAGACAGGGCCTGCGCACAGCCTAGGACGGCGGCCCCGCCAGGCAGAGGCAGGACGTGCCTGGAGATGAGGTCTGTTTCCCTTAAAGGGTAAGGGAAGAGACAAGGATGGCAGGCTGCATCGCAGCAAGAGCTCCAGGGAGCTTCCTCACAGGGCCAACAGCCATGGGCCACCGGCCTTGGCTGGAAAAGCAGCCGCTCCCAGCAGTCTTCCCTGGCCGAGGTGGACCGGCCCAGCATGCAAGCTCTGAGGGGCTTGGGGGCAGCCCCCACCTGCTGTGCAGCCACCTTGCCATCCCTGCAGAGCTCACCAGGGACTGTATCAAGCAGCAGGGGTGGGAAACGGACACCTGACCCTCCTCGAAAGATGCCACTGGACGGTAAAAGCCAACCAGGAAAGAATGACCAGAAGAGGGCGTGGGGTGTAGAAGAGCCCTGGGAGCCCCGAGCGCACCCCTTCAGTGTGGCCTGGCGCTGCTGCACACTGCGTGTGGGACAGCTGGCCACGCGCTGCACATGCTGCCGGTCAGCACTAAGGTGCACCTGGCCACTCCCGCACAGCCAGAGCATGTGCTGGTGCTGAGAACTGGCACTGGGACAGGGCGAGTGCCAGCTGTGGGGAACCTGGGACCCGCACCCAGGGCCCTGATGCCAAGGTAGAAACAGCCCTGGGCTGAAATGCGCTCGTGAACTGGTGCTGAGATATAGAGTGGCCCTGAAGTCCACTGGGCAGGAACGGACTCACTTAAACAAGGAACTACTGTGGACCAACTGTAGATGGTGGCTGCGGGACAGTCGGGGTGGGATCAGCCTGGGCCACGGGAAGTGAAGTAAGCAACAACAGTCAGAGGTGGAACCAGAAATGACGCCCGGAACTCTGAGGGTGCGTCTTATCTCTCAAGCAAAGAGTCAGTAGGCACCAGTAAGCCCTTTCCAGTCGGTGCCGGGCGCTGGACACTCAGGGCAGGAGAGAGCCCACCACAAGAAGAGGAAGCCCAGGCTGGGATGCCTGCTGCCAGCACACGGATGGCCCCTGCCACACGCGGTCCAGGAGCCAGGCGAGCGCCCTGCCTTGGGCTGGACGTGGGGAGCTTCTCCTTTTGAACTCACACAACAGCGATCATGGGTGCTGTCCACAGTGCATCCACTGGTGAGCTGGGCTGCACCAAGCCTGGTGAAGAGCTGTTTGATGCATACAGTGGTACCTTCCCTCTGAGCGCTGCACCCCGGGCCACAAGAACGGGCCAAGGTGGCCCAGAGGAGGAAGGGATTTTAAACAGAAAATGGTGAAAGAAACTTCAAAAGAAATAAGAGAAGAGAAAGAAGAACGCCAAGGTCAGCACTCTGCTGCAGGTGCTGGTCCACGTGCAAGGTCTTCGCGGCCTGCATGGAGGCTGTGGGCTCCAGGTGATGCTTGGGGTCCTGCTGAGGGGCGGGGCCACACGGCAGGCAGGTGCCCCGCCTCCCGGAGCACAGAGTGTTAAAAATCTGTATCTGTAAGAAAGACCAGCACCTCTGAAGGTTCTTCATACTTTCTTTTAAACTTGTATAAGGTTTTTTAGGAGTTATCTCTTGTAGCAAAGAACACTTTACTTTGACGTTTAACACTTCAGTTTTTGCTGCAGGTTTTTTTTTCCTACTAAATTCTATATAATTAGAATTTTTTTATGAAAATACCTTGTGAAATAGCCCACTTTCATGAAGCCTGTTCTATTTCTTTTTCTTTCTCTGTACACACACAAAATAGCTTCAGCTCCTGTCAGAAGTGATAATTTATAGTGATTTGGGATGTTTGTTCTTTTCTGCAATATTTTAAGCTCTTTATAATGAGCAAATATTATTTTTACAAAAACAAAGGCACTTGCACTTAAGAAAAACCAAATAAGCCAAAGACGTCAACACTGGTTAATTCTGTCTTCATGGGGACGGGTGACTGCTGGGCCCAGGTGGGCCTCTGTGAGGAGTGCTGTGTGTCTGTTCCTAGGCTTGGTGGTCCAGCTCACTTATTTATTCACCTATTTTTGGTGCTGGGAATCAAACCCAGGACCCCTTGAATGCAGGCTCTACCACTGAGCTGCACTCCCAGCCCCTGGCATCTGTTTATGGGATGAGGACCCTAGAGGTAAGAGCCTTCCAGTACTCGGAACCTCACCCTATTGGCCAGGAGCCCGACCTTCAGTGTTTGGATCAGCGGTTCCCGGTTCGTGCCTCCAGCTCCTACAGATGGGAGTGCTCCCGAGTCCACTCAGGAGCTCTGGCCTTGTGAGGAGGAGTGCAGGGAGGTCTGTGGTGAACAGGGTGCTAGGACAGACAAGATGGGCACAGGGAAAGTAGTGACCACCGCTCTAGGCAGGTGTGAATCCTTCAATGTCCAGAACACACATCATGCCACTGTGTCTCTGATAACTTGGGCCCAACAGTCTAAGAGGGAAAATGAGGTCACATCCCCATTAAGCCCAAATTATGTCAGCTCTTAGCCTGCCCACCCGCTCCCCAGCAGCACCCAACCCAGGGAACACAGAAGGATATTCCAGAGGCTCAAGCGCCAGCTAACCCTAGAAGCAAGAGCACTGGGGTGGGGGGGGAGCTGGAGTCGCGGCACTTGGCTGAGAGCTGCTGAGAAGGCCGATCGGCCATCACCAGCTCCATACCCGGCTGCAGGGCCACATCTCAAGAGGGTGACACCAAGTGTCCCTGGACTGAGGGCCCTGGGCACAGTTGAGGGTGGGACAGCCTACAAAAGCAGGAGTATCCGGGCACCTGACCTCTGCCCGTCCCCGTCCGTCTCAGAGTCCAGCTGCTCAGGCAGAGAGAGAGGAGAGAGAGGCCCTCTGCCCTCTGTGCAGGCTCCCGCCCAGATGAGCCCCCAGTCCACCGCCCCACCAGCTTGGCCCCTGTCCCCACTGCACAGCCAGAGAGTCCCAGGACCTGAGGAAGGCTTCTGAACCCGGAGCTCGAGGGGAAGAGGACTCATGGGAGAGAGCCTTCGCGCCCGGCGCCTGAGCCCAGGAGGGAGACGGGAGGCAGCATCGAGGAAGTCTGCCAGGAAGAGTAAAAAGACAATAAAGTTCTGGTGTTTTTTATTGTTGTTTTTAAAATAAAAACAAGAACTAGACCAGGAGGCCCCACGTGTTCCAGAGAGGACAAGAATTCAACGTGGAGGTGGTCCTCAACAAGACGGTGTGTAATAAACCTCTCCAAGATAAAGGCTGGGCCTCCAGGTAAAAAGACTGACCCAGTGCCCTGCGCAGCGCTGGAACTAGGTCCACCCTAGGGCCACGTCCTGTGGAGTCCAGAGCAAGGAGGGAGAGGAGAGCTCAGCAAACAGAGTGACTCTGAGAGCTGAAGACAGGGACACCATGCTTCAGAGCTCTGAGGGTCTTGTCACCACCTGGACGGCTGCACTCAGCCCACTGTCCGTTCAGTAGCCACCAAGGCACCTCAGCAGAGGCCCACGCCCGCTCAGGGCCCAGTGGAGGATGTTCCAAGCGTGCCCAGGAAGAACAGGAGACGCTGTGGCTCCAGGAAGAAGCAGGGTCTTGAGGGGACAGGGAGGACAGGGAGGGAGGGAGGACAGGAGAGAGGGAGAAGGGCACCTGAGGAAGAAGTGCCCGGGTGGAGGATGCGAGGCCCCTGAGGGATCTCACTAGAGCCGAGTCAGCGGGGCCTGCAGGAGGTGGAAGGAGAGAAGCTTCTGACAAGAGGGAGACATTGGGGAAGGTAAACAGAAGGAGCAGCCCCCCACTCGCTCTGGAAAGGGAGAGCAGGTCACTCCATGGTACAGCCTGACGGGCAGGTGGTGCTCACGCAGCCCCCACGTGGCTGGGGCCGAGGCCAGAGGAGGTAGCCCCTTCTGCAGGTGGCTCTCCGCAGCCATTCAGAGGCGTGCTCAGGGGAGGTTGGAGGCCAGCGCCAGCCGATTGGCTGAAGGTGAGAAGAGCTGCCGTGGGAGGGAGCCTGCACTGGTGGGCCTGGGAGTTTGTGCCTGTGTGACTGGGATCCAACGCAGGTGTGGACAGTAGCGGGTGCTGGCGGTGGGGGTGTGCACTGGGCAGGAGCCTTTCAGAACAGAGGGGCCACCCCCGGGAGGAGCCGTGTGCTGGGCTGGGTTTTCGGCTCTGTCTGGAGATGGGTCTGGCTGTAGCTGTCGGCAGACGTCTCTCTAGGGCTGTGCGGTCTTAAGGGGGTGGGAGGTGAGAGGAGGCTGGGGGGTGTTCAGCCCGAGGCTGGGGAGGCTTCTAGAAACTGCTGGCACCAGACTTAGGGCTGAGAAGAGGAGGAGAGCCAAGCAAAGATGAGGGCAGGGCAGGTCCTCTCTCTGGGAAGGAGCTCACTGCCAGGCTCACCCCAGAGGCTCTGTGGGCCTCCTGGCTGTCTACCTGCAAGGGACTTAGAGGGTTCCAGACCCTGGGATTCAGGATGGCCCAGAGCTGTCGGAGCTTCATGACCCGGAGTCCTCGCGGGTGGTGACATCCTCCTCTTGGCCCTGCCCTCAGGATAAGGAGCCCCGGGGGATCATCCCTTTGGAGAACCTGAGCATCCGGGAGGTGGAGGACTCCAAGAAGCCAGTGAGTATCCCTGATGAGGTACTGGGCGGGCCAAGGAACCGAGTCCCAGAGGCCTTCTGCGAAACACCCGAGAAGTGTGCCCTCCAGTCGCCTTCCTTTCCCTTTCCCCTGAGTGTCCGGCCACAGGGGACTAAGCTTCCTTTGTCTTGTTCTGCCTGGGTGTCACCCTCACCCTCACATGCAGTGTGGAAATCGTCCCTCAAATGGCAGCACCGTGCACCTGTGGCCTGGGCTGCGACTTCTTTGTGACCTTGGCGGGCCTTACATGCATGTTTCCTTTGCTGGTTTGGCTTCATGGAGCGCTAGGAGCCCTGCAGCCCGTCTGCAGGAGCAGAGGCGCGGGCCAGGCCGTCTTCCCGACAGTCCGAGTGGCGCAGTGGGCCCGAGGCGTCCTGCGCTGGGCTGCTCGTCTCCATAGGAAACACACCCAGCCCAGGTTTCCTGAAGGCTGCGGTGAAGGGTAAAGGCAGGGCCGTCCCTCTCGTGCCTCTCATTTCAGAACTGCTTTGAGCTTTACATCCCTGACAATAAAGACCAGGTGATCAAGGCCTGTAAGACGGAGGCCGACGGGCGCGTGGTGGAAGGGAACCACACCGTGTACCGGATCTCGGCCCCCACGCCCGAGGAGAAGGAGGAGTGGATCAAGTGCATGAAGTAAGTGAGGCCTGGTGCCCGCTGCCTCCTGCCCACGTGCCTGCTGCTCCCAGAGCAAGGTGCTTGAGCAAGACCCCAGCCCACCCCGGAGGCCTTCAGGCGCTTGGCCGCCGGCAGTTTTAGTCTAGGTTGCCTGTAGGAGCGGGGGCACCCACTGGGCCCTTCCTGCCGTGGGGAGCGCAGCCAGGCTGGCATTGTCTCAGTGGAGATGGGTTCACCCCATGAGACGCTTTGCAACCACAGATGAGGAAACTGAGGCACAGAGGCTCACACAGCTGCTTAAACAGCAGTGCCAGGCCCTCCCCAGCCTGCCCCCGGGAGGAAGCTGTGGGCCTGGGGGAGACTGCCCGCTGAGCACAGGGCCACAGGGCCCAGGCTCTGACGCTGCCACCACCATCCACCCCTTCAGGTCCTGTGTGGGGCCTGTCCTCATGTGGCCTGCCGGCCTCTCTCCTGAGACTGAGGCCTGACCCTCTGCGGGGGGCTGCCAGCGAGCACGGCTACGCGTCCCCCTCACTCATGGCTGCCCCCAGGCCTCACCCTCAGTCTGCCCACGTGTTTTCCTTAGAAAGTCTCCCTGTTACCTGGGCCTTGGTGATGTCACCTGGAGAGTGGGAGGATGTGCCCCAGGGACCCAAGGGTGTGCCCACGTGCTGTCCTTGCCCACTAATGGAGCTGAGGGCCCTCAGGTCTATTTTTGGTGTTTCAACTTGTGTGGGCCAGGGTTACATCCTGAGTAGTGACTGGACGGGAGGTGTGGCCTGGAGGAGGGGGAGGTCTCTATTCCCATGAGGGTCATCTCTGCAAGTTCCTGCAGCCCAGAGGCAGGTGCAGCGAGAGGGTGGGCGTGGAGCCTGCGCACCTGTCCTCCTGGTCTCTCTGAGCGTGACTCCTGTGTGAAGGAGGAGGGTGGTGTGGTGGGCAGCCATCACTCTGTCTAGACTTGGTGGCTTCCCTGGGTGGCAGCTAGTATGGGAAATGGCCCTGGACAGGAGCCAGACAAACTCTCCCCTGAGCAGTGTTCAGTCACCTACCTGCAAGGAGGCTTGGAGCCCTGGCCTCTGGACGCTGCCCCTGTAGCTGGGTTGTGGATGCAACCTGCGTATCTTGTGCCCTTTTTAATGTGTGTTTTCAGAAGTATTTAACTTTCATTATGAAATTTTTTTATTGTATGATTTGAGGTCAGGGTTGTCACTTTGTTCTTCCAAGTGAATGGTTAACTGTCAGGATACGGAGCCTTGACAGATCTGCCCCACCCCCATTCGCCTGCTCTCACAGATTGTACAAGTGCCCGTGTTGACCATTGTGTTTCTCTGTGTGAACACGGCACTGCTCCTCACCAGAGTGGGCCCTGAAAGACCCCTTCCTCTCCCCCTCCCCAGCTCTTCTCCCAGGACAGTTCTGGCTGTTTGTCCATCTTGTTCACAGCTTTTGCTTCTGGAGTAGGAAAGTGAAGCACTCTGTAAAGTCCTGCAGACTCCCCAGTCCTTTCACTTGGAGGCCAAGCCCCTGCCAGGGTTGTGAGCTCTCCTGGTGGCTCCAGAGCCAGCTGTGCTTTAGGACAGGAGGGCTGCCCGGGGACCATTACCCTCACCTTGCACGTGAGGACCTCAGACCCAGCAGGCGAAGCCCCCAGGGCATGCTGCTGTCCAGCCCAGCAGGGAGCTCAGGCCCTGCGCTGGTCAGCAGGTCTGTGCTCTGTCTGGACCGGGCGCTTCTCCCAGGCACATGGTGGAGACAGCAGGAGGAGGGAGGAGGCTGACCTGGAGAACGATCCTGATATCATGGGACGATTCTGCTGAAGGTTGGGTGCGGGACGTGCTTGTTTCTTATCACGGGTTCCCAGGGTCCCCAGCAGCCTGAGTTCATGGTGGCACTGGCATGCAGCTGTCACAACAGAGTCCGGCTGTGTGCCCATGGCGGAGCGCAGTGCAGTAGTGCTGTGACCGTCACCGAGGGCTGGTGTGCTAGGCACGCTGATGTCACGCACAGTCCCAGAGCCCACCCGGGCTCCTCCACGCCAGCGAGCAGCTGAGGGATGGCAGCCGTGGCGCTGGCCCTGGTGCCAGCCCGGTGCCCTCTGCCATTCCCAGCAGGTTCCCTGTAGACATGCCGGCCACGGGCATCTCTGCAGGAACAGCAACTTCCTGAAGGGTCAGGCCATCCAGCCAAGGAGGAACCAGCACCTCCCAAAAGTGAGACAGATGTTTGGAATGACCAGATTCCCTCATGAAGCCACTGGGTGTCAAGGTCCCCTCAGGACATGTTCCCGGACCGAGGGGACATCGACTCTGGTGAACAGCTCCCAGTCGGCTCAGCAGCGCCGTGGTGGCTCCTGGCACCATCATCTGGGGCGCTAGCACAGTGCCTGCTGTTGTGTGGCTGGACTGAGCTCAGGACTGGTCACCCGTAGGAAGCCACTGAGCCTCAGGACTAGAGGATCGCATCTTGAGAAAGACAGCAAGGAGGGCCCGCGCCTCGGGCCTGTCCCGTGCTGCCCTGCTCTCGGCCAGGGCGACCCCCACTCCCCTCCCTGCCCAGCCCTTCGCAGGGCCTCCACGGTACCAGCCCCCGCAGCAGCACTGAGCTCCCGTGGGTGGTGCAGGCCCTGACGGCCTCTGGCACGCCACACCTTGGGCAGCTGCTCGTGATGCATTTGATTGTACAGCTCTCACGGTTGCAAGGGCGTCAGAGGTCAGCGTGGGACTTGGTTTCTCCTCTGAATTAGAATGCAGCTATGAGAAGGGAAGGGCTCCTTCCTGGGTGTAGCTTGATCATTAGTGAAAACTGGCTCGCGTCCACCAGTTCCCTAAGCCACTGTGGGGACGGTGCAGGTGGGCGCTGGCCTGGCCTTGCCAGGCATGGAGCAGCGGGGCGCTGGAACGCACCAGCTCGCTCTGCTGGCCCTGAACCTCATGTCTGTTTGCCCTTTCTGTTCTCCAGAGCAGCCATCAGCAGGGACCCTTTCTACGAGATGCTTGCAGCGCGGAAAAAGAAAGTCTCCTCCACGAAGAGACACTAGCACTACCAGGACGTCACCTTCGTCACCCTCGAAGCTCCAGCCCTCCTCCCGCCTCATGAGGGCGAGGGGAGCCACCTGCCCGCCTTCCTGCAGACTGGCTTCAGCTTCTGCGGCTTTCTCTCAGGGGAGATGGGTGGGTGGCTGTCGCGGGGAAGGGCCTGGCGCCTGCCAAGCATGGGTCCCTGGTGCTCCCTCCCAGTGCAGAGGCCCACTCCTGTCAGTCCTTCCCAGGAGCAGCTCCGGCCTGCACTTGAACCTACTTAGGGATGTGTCAGTGCTTAAGAACGGAGGACAGGAAGAGAAGCCACGAACTACAAAGATCTATTTTTTTCTTTTTTAACAACACAGTGCTACATTCTGCCCACCCAAGGAGGGCCCCTGTGCTGCTGCGGGGTCCTCCGGCAGGGCCAGCCAGCTGCCTGCTGAGCCTCTGGGAGTCTCTGCCTGGTGGCTTCCCTGGGCGACAGGGCTGAAGCGAGGGCTGCGGCAGGAGGGCCCTGGGCACAGCAGTGCGCGTGCAGGGCAGCGGGCATGGGCAGGCCGAGCTGCGGCCCCAGTGCCTGGGCACCAAGCAGAGGAGAGCGCTGATGGACCCTATTGTCTTTCTCCCTAGAGTCCGAGGCTTGCTGGGCTTTAGTAGGAAGTCTGCGTTTTCCTTGAACTAAATACCTAATAACCAAAACTGTGAGCAGGTTGTCCCATCTGTCCTGGATGCCTGCCGGTTCCCGCCCGCTTTTTTCTTTCTCCTTCCCCAAACTCCGCTCCTCGTTCTAGAGGAAGGAGTAGGTCTTACCTGATCCCTGTTGGCCTTCAGCCTTTCTGCCTCAAAATTGGCCCCAACTGGACTATTCTGGTGGCTCTGTGGCAGTCTCCAGAGGGGCAGGCCCTGGTCTGCTCAGCAGGGTGCAGTGGAGCGGTGGGGCCAGCCTGCCTCTCCTCCTCCCCGTGTTGGGAGTGGGCCTGGCGCCCCTGGCTCCCCTCGGCACTCTCCTGCCGTTCTCTCAGGGACTCTCAAGGGCAGCTCCGGCCACAGGCCAGGGCCAGCGTGCCAGTCCAGGCAAAGCAGGTGGCGGCCGCCCCTCCGCATGCCCCTCCAGGTGCCAAGGGCAGGCTGTGTAGAGCCGCTCCAGCAGGCAGAGACAGGGACCTGGTGGGCTGAGGCCTGGCTCCTGGCCCTGCGGCCCTGCGTTGGTGGGGCTGGGGCAGCCTGCCCGGCCTGAGCCCCGCTGGGAGCTCCAGGCACTTCAGCAGGAGTCTGTGAAGGTGACAGTGGCAAGAGGGGTCCAGGCTGGAAACCTGAGCTCTCTGGAGAACCGGGCAGGGCCCGCCAAAGTGGGGATGGTCAGGGCCAGCGCTGGAACCCC